GAAGCATTTATTTTCTCTGTAAGCCAGTGAAAATGATGAAATCTGTAGCCATGCAAGCAGAAGGTCTCTGCATCTTGCATTTTTGAAGATTTGAAGGCCCCTTTGTCATAAAAGCTTCTAAAGCATGGGTGGGGAATGCTGGCCCTTTTATGACTTGTGAACTTCTATTCTGTCCACAATTCATAAGGGGGCTGTCATTCCCCAGTCCTGCTCTAAAGCAATAAGGCATATGCAGCCTTGTTAAGAAAAAGAGGAAGTGTGGTTACAGTGGTGAATTCAAAATCCTCAAGATGAGGATTTCCATCCTGTGCAATGATAAAATTCAGAACAATGTTTTAAACCAAGGTTCATCATGGCAAGGCTGAAAGCACCTTTATTTATGACAGGATCTTAGTTCTGAAGACTGTAATAAAGTACCAAGATGCATGTAGTAATTGTAGGGAAGGAAAGAAACAGCGCTTTCTTGATTAAGGTTTCTGAATGTCTTTCAAGAACTTTCTCTGCCTCTCTTTGCCCACTCCCACCCCAATCCTCCCACTGCCTTCTTCCCAGTGCAGACGAGAGAAGCTACTCTGTTATTTGTTCAGCAAACTTGAAAGCCTTGTGTGCCTCTTACTGACAGTTCAGAGTTCCTGGTTCAGCAATGACAGTTCATTCAATAAAATGATTGTCCAGATTTCCAGAATAGCCCATATTGTACTGATCCAGTTCCACAGTTAAGTTCTCAGCCTACAAACAACAAGTCTTAGTCTCTTGATTATTCTGGCTTGTAACTTATAGAAATATATGAATAGTCTTTTCAAATAGTTTTCTGAATTTCCACATTAAAATATAACTGAAATATTATTTTGGTTTACTGGCATTGCAGTGATTATAATATTTGTACAGTGACTCCACATTCATATTTTATTTGTTATTGAACTGTTTTAACATTGAGAAATATGTTTTTTTTTTTGTCAGATTGTTGTGATTCACATTTTCTCAAGTACCGAGCCCGCAATATTTCCCACAAATTTCTGACTAAGTTAAAATGCTTCTTGGAGCAAACTATTCAGGGAGGAAAAAATACTTTTGATATAATTTTGTGCAAATCTCCTATGAACAATTGGTATTATCTTCCAGTTTCTTCCAATTAATTTTAGCTTGCTGAGATTTTGCTTTTTGTGTCAGAAATGTAGCTTAGCAGCCATATGTTTTGAGGTGCTTCAGAACTGGCTTACTCCTATAAACATGGCAAATTCAAAGACTAATTGGATACATTGGCCACCATAACTGGTTAAATTCATTGGTAATTCCAATGTTGCACAGGAGCAACGTGTTGTACAAATAGTCCTTGTTTATCAATTGCCTTGTTTAGTGACCATTTGCAGTTACAAGGTAATGAAAATGTAGCTTTGTGACTAGTCCTCACATTTATGATCTTTACAGCTCTGTAAAGAAAAGGAAATCTAAAGTAAGATCATAAGCACAAATACAGTTTTACTTAGCAACCACTTCACTTAAGACCAAGTTGCCAGTTGCAATTGTGGTTGCTATATGAGGACTATCTATGTGTCAGTTGCATACACTTTGATGTATCTGTCCTATGTGTGTGAGAGAGAGCAGGATGGGAGGGAGGGAGGGAAGAAACCTCATCTACGGTATAGAATATTTTATTTATATTTATTTGTCTAGTAGAGTTAGGGATATTCTTTATTTAAATGTGGATTATACAATGCATGTAATTTGTTGACTAGGGATGTATCAGCTGAATAGATACGTCTCTGTGCATATTTGTCTGAATATTTATTTACTTTTTGCAATATGAGAATTTCTTTTTTGGAGAAGCGAAATTCTTATTTAGAATTTAGGTTTATTCTTATACTTACAGTAGATATATGTCTCTGAGCTTCCTCAATTTACATTCTGTAAAATGGTTATGTATAACTGGTATTATGCATTCACTTTCTGTGTTCTATTTGTATCTTTTTTCATCCTCAAATGAGGGAATGCATTTTTAAAATTGGCCATTTAATAAGAGTGCTCATAGAATACTCTTATAATTCCAAATTTGTTAATTGAATTCAAGGGTTAGCGAACCTGCTCTAAAGTTACATTGCCTCAATTTTATCAAAACTAAAACCTGAATTATTTTATCTCTGAAATACCGATGAAGTCATACACTCTAAATCAATATTTAAAACAAGGAAATATACTACAGTATAATTATGCAATACAATTACAATAAAACCAGACATATACAGGAAGAAATGGGTACTATTTTAGTATAGTACCCATTTCTTCCTGTATATGTCTAGTTTTAGTATAGTAAGGTTAACTAATGATATGTTGATAAGAGTAAAACGTTGCTAATTTGCCAGACCATACCAATTTAATAGTCACATGGTGCAAAGTTGAGAAATCAAATAACAAATTGTTTTTTCTCATTCCTAAATCAGTTTAGCCTTTTCCAGAACCTGTTCCTCTTCCCAAAAATGGGATGGGGTGATCAGCATTCATTCTTATTTTATTTATGCTGGATTTAGAAGTAATAACCTGAACAGTTCAGCTAAAACAAGTATTTCTCGTATTCCTTTTATGATTACTCATTGCTTTAGCACAATTTTCCTTGAAGTCTCAGGCAAGTGAGCAGCATGGGGGGTTCCCTTGTCAAATATACCTGCAATTTGCTCCTTTAGGAGGGTCAGTTTATATTCAAAGTGATCCAGCTGTTTTTATCCACCACTGTCAGCACATCTGTTTCTTTTTGCTGTTAGGGAAAATCGCATTCTTTTGCTGTTGTTGCAGTTTACTTTCTCTTTCCCTAGAGCTGCTGACCTTTGTTAACCTTGGACTGTACTTTGTGGAATAGTCTGGGAAATCCATTGTAAATCAACCACTTTTGCCATTCTGCCACTTGAATTCTTGTTTCACCGAAAGGATCATCTGGTCTGGCACTTTTCTGCAACAAAGAATAAAGCCACAGTGAGAAGGAAACTGCCTTTTGCCAAGACATTCTCTTCAGAAAAGAAATTGTGCCAGCTTGGAAAGTTTTAGGTCATGCTTGTTTTGGATTGTTTTATCCAACAAGTCTAGAGCAGGGCTTTTCAACCAGTGGTACGGGTACCACCTATGGTACATTGGCACCTGGCAGGTGGCACGCGACCATCCTAGAAAAGTGGTAGTGGGGGAGGGGAATGAGCTGACCCGGTGGTAGCACCGCACAAGCCTGAGCAAGAGATGGCTGGAGCTGCAGGGCTGTCAGGGCTCAGCGGAAGCACTAGGATCAGCCCCAGACTCCAGCTGGAGCTCGGCGCTGATCCTGGCGCTTCTGCTGAGCCCAGAAGAAGCGCCAATCAGCTGGAATGTTGCAGCCTCTCCAGGGTCTTGTGATTTACATTCAGATGCTTGGCAACTGATTCATATTTATGATGGTCACAGTGTTCCAGGGTCATGTGAAGTGACCAAAACAACCACCTGCTGTAACCACCAGCAGATGGGGGGAACAAAAACCAAACACCCCCCACCGCACCCCCGTTGCTAATCCTCAACAGAAATGCTCACAACAATGAAAACCTCAGACAGGAGGAAGCGTGCCGCTGGGTGGGCAGGCAGGTGTCTTGCTCAGCTGTGGCTTGGGGGGCACTTTTTTCAGTGCATTGTAACTTCGAACAGTCACTAAGTGAACTGTTGTAAGTTGAGGATTACCTGTACTTCATCACTTTTTTCCTTTTTGGGGGGAGGTCATCAATTTTTGACAACTTGCTAGGTGACTGGTGGTACTTGGATGTTGCCATATCCTAAAAGTGGTACAATGGGTGAAAAGATTGAAAGGTCTAGAGGACACCAACTTGGGTAGATACTAGACTATTCTAAAGAGGATAAAGGTAGAGGAAGAGGAAAAATATATTTATTCAGTAGTGTGGATAGATATGTTCAGGAAAATAGAATTGTCTCTTTTACTGCTTTTCAAAGTTGTATTTATTTGAGTTAATAGTTTACATTCTTAGCCTCATAGTGTTTAATCATTCAATCTACTTTTTATATTAAAGAAAAAAATATTGTTACTAAGGAAATGTAGAATCATTTCTTTGCTCCATCGTGAAACTTGCTTATAACTATACAGATTGTTGCCTTCCATCTACTCGCAGACAATAACAACAGATAGGAAATTACAGAATAACAGAGTTGAAAGGAACCCTGGAGGTCCAACCCTCTGTCCAAGAAGGAAACCCTGTACCATTGCATACAAATGGTTGTCCAATCTTTCCTTAAAAACCTCCAGTGTTGGAGCACTCATAACTTCTCAAGTCAAGCTGTTCTGTTGATTAATTGTTCTAACTGTCAGGAAATTTCACCTTAGTTCTAGGTCAGTGGTGACGAACCTATGGCACGGGTGCCAGAGGCGGCACTCGGAGCCCTCTCTGTGGGCATACATGCCATTGCCCCAGCCTTGTTTCTGCCCTTGACCACCTCCTCACCAGCAGCCTCCCTGGAGAAGAGTCGCCCCTGAGTGTGGACCATGCAGAGCAGCGCAGCCACGGACATGGCAGCCAGGCATTGTAGACAAGACTCTGCCCTCATGCCCCAATGTACACAGTTGATGCTGCAGGGCGTGGGCAGAGGGCGTGGCCACCATGGCGCTGCTAGGCTGCCTGGGCAATTTGCAGCGGGTCCTGGAGGCGGTTAGTGGCTCTGCGGGCAAGCAGGATGGGGCGGAGTGGGGGCAGGGCAGGGGTGGGGCCAGTTTTTGGGCACTCGGTCTCTAAAAGGTTCACCATCACTGTTCTAGGTTGCTTCTTTCTTTGATTAGTTTCCATTAGTTTCCACTTTAAGCTAATCCAAAACTAGAAAAAAAACTTGATACACAGACATATAAACTGAACGATTGCAACCCTCATTATACAAAGATAAAAAATTGTTTTAAAAAATCCTGGATTACATAAACGCCAGCATGAATATATTATTTGATTTGGCATTGGACGCAATAAATAATGTAGTTTATTTCATATCTCTTTTAGCTCTGGAACAACTGCTGACAGAACTTGAAGATTTTCTGAAGATACTAGATAAAGAGAACCTCAGCAGCACAGCTGTAGTCAAAAAAAGCTTTCTGGCTGACCTTCTTCGACTGTGCACAAAATCAAGTGGTAAGCAAAATCACGTGAACAACTATTGACTTTGGAAGATTTATCTTTCTTGCTGGTACTCCAACCTATCTATTTCTCCTTTTTGTTTGAATCTTATTCCCAAGTGAGATGTAAAAGGAAAACAAATATCCTTTATCAACACTAAAACAAACTTATTTATTGGGGTATATGTGTTTGAGGACTGGGATCTGTTTAATTAGATGCAAACTTTGTTATCAGTTAGTTGCTCAGAATAGGTCTACAAAGACTACACTATTTACAGATGATGGTAGGGACTAAAAATGGATTATGACATTTTTGTTCAGTTGTGTTTCTCCTAATTTGCTTTATAAATTAACAATATTCAAGATGACAGCAAAGTCTGTAAGATTGTGCAATAAAATGTATTCCCTTTTATTGTAAGCAACTTAAATTATTTTTATTCATTGAAGTTTACTATTTGCTAATAAGATTAATTTGCAAAGGATGAATCACCTTCCTTTTTGTCCTTTGTAAAGTTCTCGTTTCTCTGTTTTATTCAAGATAAATTGTGCAGGAACAAAGTCCAGTAAAGTGTTTCTCAGCTATACATCATGAGAACAGAGCATATCTGGGAAGGGAAGAGCAAAATGTTTTTATAACTTGTTTTAAAATATGTACCATAAAGTAAAGCACATAAATTAGCTTATCACATCTTGGTACGTGCAAGAGCCATGTTGGATGATGACAATGGAAATGATGGTTCCACACATCATTGGAGATACTGCTGTACATGTACACACACAACAAATACAAAGCAGTAAAGTGTTTATTTTTATACTGTAGGTGGTGATGAAGAATACATTTATATGAACAGAGTAACCATAAGTAAACTACATGGGGAACCAGAGAAAGCCAACAAAGGTAGGCATCAAATGGTATTATCATTCAAATGTATCTAGATGGCACCAAGCTTAAAAATAAACTGTTCCAGAAGCACGAGCATTACTATTCACATGGGAAGAAAGAGATATCGTACTGTGTTGAAGTCATCAGGTTTGTGGTCTTTGATACATTTACTGCCGTATAGTGAAAAATAAATACATATCAAGTAATTTTCTTGTTTGGCTTAATACAATGAATGAATAATATGAATTGTTGGAAACATATTACAGTGTTCTTCTGTGTTCGTACAGCATCTCTGAATAGCACATTTTAATTGTATAGCATACATTCATATCAAAGCATGAGAAACTGCCACATATAGTATCTTCTATTCTGTGACATTAGAATAAATAATAACTGTTTGTAGCATCTAGGTAGAAGGATATTTTGCCTTCAAAAGCTTTCTGTATACATAGATTCTCTCTCTATGAATACTAAAAAGCTACGTACATGGATATTAAATACCATGAATATTAAAATCACCTTATGTAGAATGATTCCTTAAAACAGTACATGTGTCCATCTCTAACAGAGAGTTGGTCTGATAAACGCTTACTACTTAATCTGTTTTGCTTTCTGCAGCTGCCTTGTCTGGCTTGAGCCTATAACTCATTCCATTTTGGGATTTATAGATGGAAAAATGTAGCCCTTGGTATCTGTCTCTAAGTTGTATAGAAGCAGAAAATCTGAAAAGACGTGGGAAGAACAGCAGATGTCTGATTTGTTTGGCTAATAACATTACTATACTATGCATAGTTTGTTTTGCTGCTTCCCTTCTTATGCCAGAAAACTATTAAAAGTTTCAGATGCAGAGCTGTTATTGTGGCTCCTCAGGCTCAGTCCCAAAAGAACTGTGGTTCTAGCTTTATTTTTAAATTGTACAAGAATGTAACAAAGTTCATGCCAGATTCTTGGTAACCACTGCTTACCATTCGGGTAGCTATCAGATCATCCAACTTTAGAATACTCTTTTTCAGTGAAAGTTTTGCTTAGTGTATTTATAGGGATGTTTGAAGTGATTTCAAATATAACCTCTTTGTATATAAAGATATTTTCCAAGTATAAAAAACATGTTGATCTCTCTTATGTCACCATACCATAAAATGACAGGTCTGATTCTTTCAGTCTTTTGCAGTATATTATCCTCCTCATATTTTGGATAATGTCCTTCATGATTTTTAGACAACCTTCAGCACCCTGATAGGAAAACTTCAAGAGAGTTAGAGTTATATGTTCCAGGAATAAGCAATTTGGAGATATTCTCAGTGCTTTGGATTTCAACTTCCATCAGTCCCAGAAAACATGGCCAAATGGGAGATAATTGTGGTTGTTGTTATACTGTTTACTTACATCATCTTTATGTTTATTTATAATTTTAAAGTCTCCTTGAATCTATTAAAAAAACCAAGGGCTTGCTAAATTCTGGGGACAACATCTGATGTTTTATCTGGTTATAGCCATTATGAAATACACTTTTCAGGGATTTTAAACAGGTGTTGTATCTATTTCTTTCCAAATATTGTCAAACCCCAAAGAATGAAATAGTTTATTCCTTACCATGCTGCATTTGTAAATTAGCTGAAAATCAGGTTGGGCAGTATTTACTGTCTAACTACAATTAATTTTTTTCTCAGTCAGTTTTTTTTTCCTTTGGTAGTTTAAAGTATCCTTAGCAACAGTAAGGAAAGGGTGAATACTTAAAAAAAATGATTTAGGCATCAACTCGACCTTCCAAGTAGACTGATTATTTATAAGACACCATAGATATTGTAGTTTTCAACGTTAACGGAAGTATTACTGTACCAGTAATTTCACAACCACCAAAAATGTGGGTCTTGAGTTATATTACTTTTTCACCATATTTTTGGAGTGAAATCAATTGCCATTTGGTGGTTTAGACTAAATAGGCTAATTAATCATATTTTTCAAAAACAAAAGTGGAACATCTGAGATTATGGTTGAGTATAATATACGTAATTATTTATTTGTTGTGATTTCTCTTTGGATTATGACATTAGGTTACCAAGATTCCTTGACTAATGGAGAAATGGAGCAGTATTTATATCCTCCACAGAAAAGTTTGCCAGATCTTCCACCGTCAAAAATAGTAAGTCCCTGATGTAAAAAATATCATACAGATATATAACTTGTTTAATCTTGGTTTCATTTGTAAGATTTATCTTTTAGGAGACTGCTGAGCAAATCAGTTCCTTCTTTTTTTGGGGGACTATGAAATGACGTTGTATTACTGAGGTCATGGACAGAAGCTCAGGAATGACGTACTTGATGTACTTTTTGCATTAAAAAAGAGAAAACCTGCAATAAAATATATATACAGCTTGGACCTAGTGTGGGAGGAAGTGAAAACCTGTGGGTGGTCTGCTGAGGAAATAACTGTGTAAACTGCAGCCAAAGGGTGATCAGATGGATTATTACTGTGAAATCCTGCTGCAAGGATTTAGAGTGAGTGATCCCATCAAGGTATCTGGGGAAAGGAAGCCTGAGAAAAACAGAGAATTTAAGATGTACAACTTCATTGTCCAAGTGTTTTTAGTATTTAGTGTTTTTAGTCAATTTAGTTAGATAGTTATGTTTTGGGTTTTTTGTGTAGAATGAGAAGCTGTTTTTATAGACAGCAACTTCCAAATGCGCAATCCATTCTTTTCCCCATACTATTCTGTAATTTTTAAAAATCTACAGATGCTCAAATGTATATTTAAAGGCTTTTTTCTCAGCAAGTTAGCTCAATACAATTTCTTTGAAATTCTATGCCTTAACACTTTTGGAGACACAGCTGTATTCTTATATCCATGACATGTAAAGGATAAGATGTTAGATGTTAGACTTAACATCTAGTTGGCATTTTCATTCAAGCTAGAGGTAGATAACCTCTTCTCTTCCTCCTTTTCTAGATGTGTTGCTGAAATGCAGCACCCAGCATGCTGGAAGTCCTAGTTCAGCAACCTTTAGCATGTCAGAAGTTGCTTAGCACTGGTCTAGAAGATCAGATCTAGGCTCTGTCGATTCATACTGGAATGCATAAAGATTAAACAGTTCAAGCTATTCCATTTAATGCTGGGTGGGCAGCAATAAATAAGGTAGACAACTTTTCTGACTTTTGGTAAATAAATGCTGGCTTTTCATAGTCATGTTATACCACAACAGCAATAGCTGGATTGACCTATATATACATACTAGCACTTATTTGGTGGGAAATATTGCCTTGATTTGTAAATATTGCCTTGACTTGTAAAGAGCAAATAAAGAAATGCTTTTGGTAGATGTCAGGTTGAGAAGGAAGATTATTTCACTTAATTCTTAATTCACTTTTTATTATTTCTAAATTTATTACGCACTCTACGGCAAAAGCTGCCAGGGAAATATGCAGTAAATGTGTGGATTAAAAATTAATGTAAAAACAGTACAAAACAAGGATAAACCAAAGGAGCAGAGACTAAAACTGGCATTGATTTAGAAGAACCTAATAAGCAATCAAAAGATCACCACATGATACTTGATATTGAAAAGACTATAAGATTGTTGCCAGAGGGCTTTGTTTAGAAAACAAAGAAAACAAAAACTCTACCCTGTTAGGGTTATAGTTGGGGAGAACCTCACACCTTAGAATATGAGATTTATTCTTGCCTCTCTTTTATGCCCTTTCTTAGCAAGCTTATTTCTAATTAAGATTTTCTTAAAATTGTAGCTGGTCAATCACAATAGATGTCACTAACCATTCTGGGAATAATTTATGATTCTTGTATCTAACCAAGAGGATAAAAGCATGAAATGAATCCTGTGCATGGTACTTGATTGTAAGCAGCAACTCTAGCCATTCCTGTTATTTTCAGAAAAGAAATCCCAAGAGCTAAGATTGAATCTGTTTCAAAGCAATTCATCAGTGAAGATTTCAAAGCAAGCTCTAGATGTTCATAAATAATCAGAAGAGAATTTTATCTGCAAACCTCTTGGTTATTATCAAGATTATGTTGTGACTGTTTTAAAGAATTGCACATAGGCTATTTCTGTGCATACATACAAAAGCATCATTTTTAGAATTGGATCTGAAGCACCCTACATAGTGATGGGATTCAAATATGTGAGCAAATGTTTCTCTGTGGGGATGCCGCTTCTGAAAGTCCATTCTGGACCTGGGCAACAAAAAATTAGCTACCGGTTCTGCTGAACTGGTGCAAACTGGCTGAATCCCACCACTGACTGTACAGGTTGTTTCTTTCCACAATGGAAAAATAAGTCAACTTGAGAGAGTTGTTAAGCTTAACTTTGAATAATAAAGCTCAAACACCCCCCACCCTTTTATAATTGCTTTATCTATCTTTCATTAATTTATTTATATTTGTCTTATTTCTTTAACATGAGGTCATAGGCATTTGTAGATTGTATGTCACATATACATTTGGAAGGTCCCTTGAGAGTGTATACTTAGCTTACTTCCTTCAAGTCTGTCATGAGTGTTTGAGACACTTTTTTTTTTTTATTAAAAAGTTTTATAAATTTTACAGAAAATAAAAGACAATACAAAAACAAAAAACAACATATACAAATAAAAAACAAACATTACCCAACAAACCCCCCCTTCCCCCACCCCTACCCAACCCCCCCTTCCCCCCCCCAGGGCCTCCCAGAGCAGAATATAGGCTTAATTAAAAAAAAGTTAAAAAAATTTATATTTATAAAAAAAAAGAATATAAAATAGAAAATATATATAAATATAGAGTTAAAAATTATGAAAAAACTATATAGTATTTTTTTATATCAAATTTAAATTGTATGAATTTTATCCATTTATCCCAAACAGCAAGAAATTTCTCTTGCGTTTGTCCCTTTAAGAAAGCCGAAATCTTTGCCATTTCCGCCAAATGAGACACTTTAAGAAACCATTCCTGCAATGTAGGCAAAGATTCCTTCTTCCAATATTGTCCTACTAACAGCCTCGCAGCTGTAATCAAATTTAACATCAATATAACCTCCTTTGTATCACAATCAATAACTATACCTAACAAAAATAATTGTGGAGTAAATTTTACCCTCCTTTTAAAAATTCTCTGGATATTCCACCATATCTTAATCCAGAATGCTTTTATCTCTCTGCACGACCACCAAATATGATAATAAGTAGCGTCCATACAACCACATCTCCAACATTTAGGTTGTAAGTCAGGGTACATAAAAGACATTTTTTGTGGATCAAGGTGCCATCTATAAAACATTTTATAAAAATTCTCCCTTAAGTTCTGTGCTTGTGTAAATTTGACATTTCTCACCCAAATAGTTTCCCAGGTGTCCAATGGAACTGGCTCACCAAAATTCTGCGCCCATCTAATCATACAATCTTTAATTAGTTCCGTTTCTGAATCCAATTCAACTAAAACCCCATAAATCCTCTTAATGTGGGTTTGTCTTTGATCCTTCACTTGCTTAATAAGATTTTCATCTTCTCTGAGAAAACCCACCTTACAGTCCATCTTCCATCTATCTAATAATTGCCTATATTGGAACCAAGAATAAATAATATTTTCTTGTGCTAACTCTTCCCGTGATTTTAACTGCCAGTTTTGTCCATCCCATTTAAGTAACTGTCTATAAGACACCATATCCATTTTAACCCCTCTTTTTATTCCTTCTATTGCATGCCAAGGTATAGCCCATAATGGTACTTTGAAATCACTTTTATAATATTTTCTCCAAACCCTAAGTAAAGAAGTTCTTAAGATATGAGATTTAAAAGCCCAATCCATTTTTTTATTAAATATTAAATAGGCATGCCACCCAAAAAGTAGATTCCATCCCTCTAAGTGGAGTATATCAGAATTTGTCAAATTTACCCAGTCACTAACTAATGTTAAAACCACCGCATCATAATATAATTTCAAATTCGGCACCTTGAGTCCTCCCCTCTCACGGAAATCTTGCATAATTTTAAACTTAACCCTTGGCTTTTTCCCTGCCCAAATAAATTTATTAAGGCCTTTCTGCCACTCAGTTAAATTGATCTCATTCTTCAAAATCGGTATCATTTGGAACAAAAAGAGAAACTTGGGTAGAATATTCATTTTTATCACTGCAATTCTTCCCATGAGGGATAATTGCAACTTTTCCCAATTCTTCAAGTCTCTCTGTACCCTAACCCACAACCTTTCATAATTATTTTTAAATAATTTTGCATTAGAAACAGATAACATCACCCCCAAATATTTTACCTTATTAACAATTTCAAAGCCCGTCAAATTAACCAAAGTCTGCTTCTCCCGACTAGTCATATTTTTAGGTAGAATTTTAGTCTTATTAACATTAATCTTAAAACCCGAAACCAAACCATAATTATGAATCAACTGTAATAATTTTACTACAGAATAAGTAGGTTGCGACAAAGTGATGACCAAGTCATCCGCAAAAGCTCTTAACTTATACTCTTTTTTATTAACTTCTATTCCTTTAATTTCCTGCGACTCTCGAATTTTGATCAACAGTATTTCCAGTGTTAAAACAAACACCAAGGGGGGGCTTCCGGTACGGAGCGACAGCGATGGCGGCTATCCTCTAGCCGTCCAGCTGGGAAAGTGTCAGAGCCGCGGAGCGCAGCGCGCACCAGCTGGCCCGCGGCTCGGAATTCCCTTCCCGGGCAAAGGGAAGGGACAGAGAGTGCAAGAGTAGAGGTAGAACCCCTGAACCCTCTCTGGATTTAATTCTAGAGGGGGTGAAAGGAGTGTTCCCTTGGAGCTCTTGCTGTCTCCGCCTCCCAGCTGTTTTTGCTTCCTAGGAAGCAAAAGAAACTGCCGCTTCTATCTCCGTGCTTATAGAGAGTTGGTGAGTAATTCTTAAAAAACGGACAGAGCAGTTTAAAGGATTTTTTCTTATATAATTTAGGTGTTTATTTTTTTTATTTAGTTCTGATTATTTCTCCTTTTTTTTTATTACTGTGGAGAAGGAATTAAGATGGCGTTTTGAAAGTGACGGAGTTTTTTTGCCCTTGTCTTTTGTTTCACTTTCTCCTTTTAAGGACTGGACTTTACTTTTGCTTTTGGTATTGAATCCTCTTTTTTGATTTTTTTTTTCTTGGTCTTTTTTCTCTGGATTTTTAAGGAT